CAAGCAAAGGAAACATAATAGAAACTATTACTCACTTAAGGCTTCAGATCAGCCTCAAGAAATCTCTTCTTTAGATTAGATGGTGGTGAAATTTCAGACTTGGTTAGTTGAAAATTAATGCTCCCTTATTCAAAGCCTAGCCTTTCTTCAGAACTTTCCATTTCCTCTTATCATTTACCACCTGCCATTAGTGTCATTTACTACTTATTGGCATTGCCACTTTAGTCTACAAGAGGAAAAAGCCAATCATAGACTAAAATAAGACCTGTCAGTTTGCTACTTTCCTCTATTACATGATAATTATTTATAGTTTTGCAGGAGTGGACATTTTAACCTTGTGAGTTATGGGGTTATTTGTGAGTATGCTTCATTCATATTCTCTTTATCCCAAACATCCACCAATACTGCTTATGTTGCTGGCCAGTGAACAAAATAAAATACAGAATAATTTCTTTTTCTGAATGAGGACACATGTTCCTTCAATCTGCTTTGTGACTTAATCAATGTGTCATTATTAATGAAGCAGAAGATATCATGAATCAATCAGAAGTCTTGTAATGCACATCTAATTTCCCAATTGAGCATTCAGCTGTAGATAACGTTTCTGCCAGAGCAATTTAGTGCCTTATGAGATTCCATAGTTGAGAGGATATTTGCAGGTTCACACAAGGGCTTGTAAATTCTGACCAATGGATCAAGTAAGCAATGAAAATAGATTTTCTATCTTCCTTGGACCACTGCCTGAGTAGGTTACAGTCTAGGAGTCATAGATCCATACTGTGAGTTCCATTCAGGAGTGGGTGGGCCCCAAACCTTGTTACCAGAGTACCATTTGTTAGAATTCAGATGTGTTTAATGAGCAAGGGAGATAGGTAAAGGAGGGCTGACCCTGTGGCTCACTCGGGAGAGTGCAGCGCTGAGAGTGCCGAGGCCGCGGGTTCGGATCCTATATAGGGCTGGCCCCTGCGCTCAAGCACGGTGTGGGCGACACCAAGCCAAGGATTAACGATCCCCTTACCGGTCTCACACACACACACACACAAAATAGGTAAAGGAGATCAAAGAGCTCCCTTCCCAGCTAAAAATTTGGTGAAAATTCTAATAGCAGGAAAATTTATTACTGAGGAATTTAAGAACTTTAGCAAAAAATGAGTCGAATGGCCAAAGTCAGGTATGAGCCTATGAAAGCTCTTACAGAATTATCTTCATTCAGTAAAATAAAGATAGCATTAGAGAATACAGTGACACTATTCACAGGAATTTAAGAACTTTAGCAAAAAATGAGTCGAATGGCCAAAGTCAGGTATGAGCCTATGAAGGCTCTTACAGAATTATCTTCATTCAGTAAAATAAAGATAGCATTAGAGAATACAGTGACACTATTCACGTCTAAAATTATTATTAATGTGCCCAGTATAGTATGTTTGATTTCCATTTGCAATTTAAACTCAATAATAGAATGTTGAGGACTTCTCTTCACAGTGAAGGGAAAAAAAAGAAAAAAAAGGAAAAGATTGTGAATTTGTTTTGCTTTTTTTTGTTGTAGATAGTATGAGTACTAAGAGACTGTTTTTCCTGTGTCTGGTTCTCCATGCCAAAGTGTAGTATCTTTTCAATTTAAGAGTCTTCTCTCTCAGTTCCTACTGGACTCACTGAGTGATAAACAATTTAAGTGGTTAAGATGGGGGAACAAAGGAGAAGAAGAAAAGCTATATGAAAACTTAAACAAACTCACCATGGCTGACAATGTATTTCTCTGCCAGTGTACAAGGTTGTAAAGTCTTACCTCTGTTCATGAAAACCATGTGCCAGGACTTTTCCTTCTTGCCCACACTTGGCTTCTTTCATCCTGACGGATTGAAGGGTGCCATCTAAAGTCTAATGTGGCGACCCTTAACCTTCTTTAGCTCTCTCAAATGTCATTACAATGATCTCTATTCCTTCTCTTATGTCTGATTTACTCCCTTTTTTATTTTCCCAAGCTCTATAACTTGTGTCATTATTTTTTAAATATCCCTATTAGAGATGACCAGTTCTTCTTATTGTCTAAAAGATATAAAAATGTCGTGTAGGGGTAACTCAAAATTGGATAAGACTGTCCTCCTCAAAACTGAAAACCTTTGGGTCTTCTAGTTGCTGAAATAAGAAAATGCAGTCAATAAACATTTTTCATCCAAAGGTTGTATCCATGAATTCTTTTTTTTTTTTTCTGGGATGAGAATGCCTATAACACACCAGATTTCCAGGAAGCTCTGTGACCCAGAAAATGTTAAAGCAGTGCATTAGTAACCTAGTATCATGACTATTTGGGGTCTGCTTTATGGCAATCATCAAACCCTGTGCCAGATTTAATTCTGCAGTACATCAGACATTTAGCCTTTCAGCCCAAGTAACAGCATTAATTCTGGAGGAAGTACCTGAGAAAACTTACAGTTCTGTGTAAGGAACACTGGAAGTCAGTATGCATGGCTTCTGGTAGAGGTTTTTCTACTAACTTTATGGATGAAGTGGGCAAGTCATCTTATCTCCCTGGGCCACAGTTTCCATATCTCTATAGTTAGGGAACTGGACTAACTGGGTGGTTTCAAACCTGACCTGGGATTACTGGACCCCATCCACCACCAGCTGAAAGAGACTCACTACAGTTAGTACTCCAAAATCTGATTTTTTTAAGAAAGGTTGTCAAAACATTACATCAGGTAGAAAAACCATTGTAGCAGACACTCTAGGATCACTTCTAGCTTTAAAATGCTGGATTTCCATTAAGCTAATATTCCCTACACTTGGTAAAATCTGGATCAGCATGAAGTGTTAATCATCAGAATGAATATATCATAGTATTCTTTTTAAACATAAGTGATTAATACTATATATAAATGAAGTGATTTATTGAGAGAGTCTATCACAGTGCTGGGAAATTACTAATCATATACAAACATGTATATGTAGTATACTTGATTCTGCTTGACTCTTGACCACCAGTGAGTTTGGTAAGATATGAGATAGGATTACCTCGGGTAATCAAAGGCATCAAATGTATTGCATGCCAGTCAGTTTTAAATATATTATCATATTTAATCCTCATCACAGCCACTCCCGTGATCATTTTCCTGCCCTGTTAGTTACTACTTTGCAATCTTTTCATTTCTTTTTCAGCAAAATAGAGATTAAAAATATCTGCCTCATAGGACTGCAATGAGAATTAATGGGCAAAATGCCTGGGAAACACTTATCAGGGTCCTAATCACAGGATGAATTCTTAATTAATTGATAGGTGGTAGGGTGATAATTACTGTGATGTTGGTTATGAGGTCTTGCTACTCAAAGTGTAGATAGAACAGCAGCATCAGTATTACCTGGGAGCTCACTAGAAATTTGGAATCTCAGGCCCCAATTCTCTGACATCTTGAATCAGAACCTGCATTTTAATGAAATTTCTTAATGATTCATGTGCACATGTATGTTTGAGAAGCACTGACCTGGAAAAACAACCCTGGGACTCAGCGACTTGATGGAACTCATACTAGTAGTAAACCAGGGAGCTGGGGGCACAGCCAAATAGGAGCTAAGGCCAATGTCTTTCTCTCATACCTCTAGGGACATCTCCGACCTGGAGGTGTTCAGGCTTCCTGAATCCCATTGAACTATTCTTTTTCTAATCCAGGCTGTATTGGAAAGGCTTTTAAAAACACATTTTCATGTCTACCACTGTAACAAAAGCATCATAATTTTGTTTTATTTATCACATTTTTAATTATTCAGCTGTTTTATTTGTCATCATTTAGGGAATTATTACAAAACTTATGTCTAAAATGCTTCTGATTAATGCACATATAGGCAACTAAACAGATGTAGAATGGGTTGACTACTTTGATACGATTAAACATTGATGAAACATATATTTGCAGAGCAATAACGATGCAGGCATTTGTATAAATAATAACAGATCTATTTCCCTAATTAACTAGGGGGGAAAAAATGACAGAATTACCAGATATGTCTGGCTTACTAGGCAGATCATTTTCAAGTGCAATTTTTTTTTCATGTGAATAAAATTATGTTAATTTATAGCATCTATTACCATGTTAAAGTGAAAGAAGTGTATTTGAGAACTATACAATGTGGATGATATGAGAAGCTTGTTTCCAGGACATGTCATAATTTCCAGGGCTTCTTTGTACATTATGGTAGGTGCATGTTTTTAATATACTCTTCAATAGTTTAAATTAATATGACATGTGTTCTGAGATCCAAACTTAAGTGATACCATGATACACATTTTTCCTCACATTTTAGTATCTCTGATATTGAGATCTGTCTTACAATTGATACCATGTCACAATTTGATTGGAAGCATTTTTTTTTTTTTGCAATCAATTAAATAGGAGATTAGGATCCCCAGTAAACCTAATCCTAGTCCACAGTAACACCATAGTGAGTAAAAGAAGTGGGACAGAAAGGAGACATCAACAGTATTCAAGCAGGAAGTGGAGGTGGATAAATAGAAAGAAATGAGATTAAACAAGAAAAAGAATTTCATGGATTTCTGTTTTCACAGGGCCAGATAGAAAAATCAGAGAAAATGAGAGAATTTAGCAGAAGAGCAAGAAAGAGGAATAGAGAGTTGGAGAACAAAAGGAGAGAGAATAAAGCATCAAGTTGGAAAATATAGCCAATAAACCCATTCATTGCTGTGACACTACTTCCTAGGTGTGGTGTTCTGTGGTAGACTTTCAACTAGTGGCTGCTTTTTTTATTGCACACACAGGTCAGTAGAGGTCCTAAAGTGTAGGATGTGGGAGGTGTTTTCAGCACATTTCAGAAGGTATTTTTACTTCTCAGGCCTACACAGGTAGATCCATTACCTACCTACCCCCCGCCCCCACATACACATACTCTCTGAACATCCTTCTCTTTTGACTGCCTCCTACATTTCGCTCAGCCCCAAACCACTGGGAGAGGTTTAAATGATTGTTAAATCTTCTATTGTTTTCTTTCAGGTGATATCAAGATTATCGAACAAATCTACAGTCTCCCAGGTATGGCTTTTGCTAAAAAGCAAATATTTATCTAAAATCCAAAGGATTTGAATAAATCTGTCTTTCCCTTCAGGATTTTATGTACTTATTTTTAACTTTCCCTAATTCATTTTCCAGTGAGAGACGTGGTGACTGAGTTTTTTGAGTTTGGGTATGGAGATGTATTGAAACTCATCTCTCTATGTAAGCTTTTTATAGTTCTTGTTATAAAGTAGTTTGTTAGCAAAACCTGCC